ACAAAAGTCCTATTGGATAAATTAAGAGAATTTGAAGTTAAACTTGAGGATATGAGAGGTCAAGGCTATGACAACGGAGCGAATATGCGTGGAAAACATAGTGGTGTTCAAGCAAGAATTCTTGAACTAAATTCTAGAGCATTTTATGTACCATGCAATGCGCATACTTTAAATTTAGTTTTAAATGATTCTGCTAATTGTTGCCTTGAAGCTGTCTTGTTCTTTAGTTTAATTCAAGCAATTTACAATTTTTTTTCTTCATCAACTCACCGTTGGGATATATTGATTAAATATTTACCCGGTTTAACTGTAAAACCACTAAGTGCTACTCGGTGGGAAAGTAGAGTGGATGCAGTTAAAGCTATTAGATTCCAATTAAATGAAATATGTGATGCATTGTCAGATATTGTAGAAGATAACACTTTAACTAATGCATCTGGTGTTAAAAGTCGTTCTGAAGCCCAAGGAATTTTAAAAAAAATATCCGACTTTAAATTTGTGATGTGTTTAGTAATATGGTATGATATTTTATATGAAATTAATATTTCGAGCAAACTTCTCCAATCACCCTCGCTTGATCTATCAGAAGCTACTAACCAATTAAACATCACAAAAAAGTTCTTGGAAGATTATCGTTCTGAAGAAGGTTTTAAAAAAACATTAAAAACTGCAAAGGAAGTTGCTAAAAAAGTTGGAATTTATGACAAATTTGATAGTTTACAAAGATCGAGACGTAAGGCGATTCTTTTTAATTATGAATCTCAGGATAACCCTATAAATGATCCAGAAATTCACTTCAAAGTTAATTTTTTTTATCAAGTTTTGGATACAGGTATTCAGTCAATGATTGAAAGATTTGATAAGCTATCTGAGCATAACAGTTTATTTTCGTTCTTATATAACATATCAATAATTGAAGATGAAAATGAGTTGTTAAAACACTGCAAGGATCTACAACTTTCTCTCACTTCTAACGACGGTTCAAACACAGATATTAGTGCTGTAGAATTACATCAAGAAATTATCGCATTTAAAAGATGTTCAAGGACTGAAAAAAGTGATCCACGCAAGGTTTTGGAATACATATGTAAAAGGAAAATGGTGGAGCTTTTTCCTAACCTGGTCACAGCACTTAAGATCTTACTGACATTACCTATAACTGCAGCTAGTGCAGAAAGATCATTTTCAAAACTGAAAATTATTAAAAGCTATTTGCGGTCCCAAATATGTCAAATGCGTTTAGTTGGTCTGGCAGTTCTTTCAATTGAAAAGGATGTATCAAACAAATTGGACATGGAAGAAATAATAGAAGAGTTTGCAACATTAAAAGCCAGAAAAATAAAATTTATATAAATATTAAAAATGTTGGATTCTGTATTATACCACTTTAAATTTTTTTTAAGTTTAATGTATTTCAATTTCAACAAAAATGTGTACTATTTATATTTCTATAGTTGAATAAAAATATTTTTTTGTGAATTATAAATTATGACTATAACGTATAGGTATACTGTGACTTAAGCCCGAAGTAGACGTAAATATGTTTGAGGATATGGGGGGAAGGGGTAAATAGAGGGATCAAAAATGAAAGGGCGGCAAATTTTGATTTTGCCTATGTATACATCTTGTCTAGAGCCGGCCCTGTATATTATTACATACATACCCAATAAAAATATAAAACTTATATGATATAATAATAAAATAAAGAGTTTTGGAGGTTAATTGATAGTGTTTGAATAATTTGATAAATACAAATTTCAATTGTTAATTTATGTAAACATTAAGTGGTAAGGAATTAATACAATAATTATTCCCTGTAGTCGGCCTGTACTGATATACTTACTGTACAGCACGATTATAAAGATCTTTATAATCGTGCTGTACAGTAATGTTTTAAATAAAGGCGCCATAATCGTTGCTCACGAACCGATTGCATGAATCCGAACCAACACGAAGAAACACGAATGCACAACTGCAGTATGCACAAAAACACAAGGCGATGCACATGCGCAAACTAGGACGAAAACACGGTTCGTGTTGAGCATACTTTTTATTCCCTATACTATGATGGTGACAGCGACGTTGAATCTATGCGTTCCGACGGCGCATCTTGTGGCAGTCGGCGACATTGAACAGCAGACAGCAGCGTGTGCGAGTGACGGCGGCGGTCGGCGACGGTGAGTAACGGGCTCGACGGCGGTGCGTATTAGTTACGTATTATGTATATTTGTTGAAATGTAAAGAAGAGAATATGAAACCATTAAGTAGAAGTTTTTTCTCCAGATTTATGACACAAAAAAAATTTTCCATATACCAACCTAGAAAAGATTTATGTGATACCTACTCAAGTTATAAAGTCAAACAAGTAAATGAAGAAAACTATGAGCTACATATTGCTCAAAAAAAATCAAGCCCGAGAAGAGCTTAAAGTTGATACTCTTGATGCAGTCGCTTTCAAAAAAATAGTCTTGACAATGGATTTACAAGCTGTGAAACTATGCCCTGCGCTGAATGCTAGTGCATTGTATTACAGCATGAAACTTAAAGTACACAATTTTACAGTCTATAATTTAGAACCTAACACCCTTGTTCTAATTATTGGTGGGATGAAAGTCAAGGGGAACTCGATGCATCGGTATTTACATCAATTATATTGAATCATATTAAACAACAATGCATAGATGAGACTCAAAATAAAAAAAAGACATTATATACTCGGACGTTTGTGGGTATCAAAACCGCAACACGGTATTGTCCAATGCGTTACTTAAATTGTCTATAGAAAATAATGTTATTATAGAACAAAAGTTCCTTGTCAAAGGACATCCACAAATGCCATGCGACAGTGTACATAGTTCAATCGAACGTACAATAAAAAACAAAGAAATCTATTTGCCATCTGACTACATGAAACTAACAAAACTTGCAAGGAAAAATCCATCACCCTATGAATCCCATTCTGTTAACTATTTAGATTTCTATGACTACAAAAAATTGAATTATTATAAGTCTTTCCGACCTGGGTGATCAAAGGGTGACCCTGAAGTTCGAAATATAAGAGCTCTTAAATATGATCCCACAACCAAAAAAATATATTACAAAATACATTTTGAACATGAATATACAGAATTACCCCAGTACCATCGAACAAAAAAAACTATAGATCTGTCCATCAACACACCTTGTTTGTATAATAGCAGAATTCCTATTACTCTGTCCAAGTGGAATGATCTCCAAAAATTAAAAACTGTTCTACCAACTAATGTCCACGATTATTATGACAATATACCTTACCTACTTAAAGACTTATAAAGAAAGAAAATGTGATAAAATTTAGTTATTATGTTTTTTTTTTTATTATAACTATTATTATTATGTTTTAACAAGATATTTTTATTATTTTATTTTAGTGAATTGTTGTATTTTTTATATTATTATTATTTATACTACACACCTAGTTCAAGTGTTTGATTTTAATTAATATATTTTATTGTGTAATTTTTTATTGATTTGTGAAATAAAACAAAGGTTGTTTATTTATTTCAAAATTTAAAATGTATTAGCTGGTTATTATTTGATACTATAATACAAGCCGGTAACCAGGTTGATTTTAGGGGTTCAGCTCCCCCCTCCAAAAAAAATTGATCCTGAGTACGTGCTTGCTTTATTACAGTTTTGATATATTTTAAAGACGTATTAATTAATATTAAATAAGGTATTATATTAAATTAAATAAATATAAATTACACGTATCTACAACATTTATATTTAAGCAACACGTATCTCAATCCTTCAATACCTCGAATCTTCATTATATTGCTGAAAAACCACGTAAGTACTATTAATTAAATTAAATGATATTACAAAATATAATTTTCATTGTTTTTAAACTATACTAAGCTCCTAATATCAATATAAGAAAAAAAAAATTGTAAAATTATTTCTTGCACACAAATTAATTAGTTTTATGTCTCTCCTGAACAATTTGTGAAATGTTATTTACGTGGTATTGCAGTGAAAGTAGCGATTACAAAAATTCCAATGTTACATTACACATTTCAAAAAAATGAAGGCGTATTACTTTCAAGACTTGGAGATGCAGGGCATTTTTTCATTGTGCCCTGAAGTTGTGTTTGTAGATGCAATCTACAAAGTTAATGACATGAGATTACCTCTTTATGTATCCTTAGGCTTGTTTAATCAGTTAATTAAAATAAATTATATAGCTGTAATAGTGAACTTTTAGATACTATATTTGTATAATTTATTAATAGTGGTAGATAGTAATAGATAGAGTGAAATTGTAGGTTTCTGTCTCCTTACATCAGAAGACTTAGAAACTATGGAGAATATGGCTATAACATTCAAAAGCTTTAACCCTGCATGGGCAAATATTAAATTCATAATGGCTGATAACGATTTCAAGAACCACAATATCTAAATTGAAATCAATTTCCGTCAACTAAAATTTTAATTTGCATTTTTCATGTTTTGAGGTCAATGTCAAGAGAAATAACATATGAAAAAATGAATATAATTTCAGATAATCACAATTCATAATATACGCAAATTGTGATCTAATATTATATTTTAATATAGGACAAAGAACTTTATGCCATAAAGTTTTGCAAAAAACAGTATACTCAAAATCTGCAGATGAGTATGAATATACTTAAAAAGAGCTTGAACAGACTAAAATAAGCAATGTTTTAAAATATTTTAACAAAACTTGGCATTCTATTAAAAATGAATGGGTCCCGTGTTCCCATTTCCCAATCTAAATTCCTGACTTTAGGTTGTATTGAACTCTTGTACTAAAGTTTGTTCATTTAATATTATTGAATGCATTTTGTATTTTAGGCAATAGAACAAACAATAGATTACTCAGGTAGTCACAAATTTTTCAAGACTTGACCAATTATTAAGGTATAATTTAAATTTAAATTCAATTATTTAAATTATTGTTATATTTACCTAAATGTTATTTTATAGGACTAGAGATGTTAATGGTGACTTTAAGATCAGATACAGACCACATAGCTACAGATTGTTTCTGTAAAACTCCGAGTTTTGTCAATAACTTTACAGCTGATGAAAAAAGTATGTACTGGCATATTTTAACACCATATAGTTTTAATAAAGTTATGTCAAAATGTAAATCTATTAAAAACGTACAAATTATATCTACCGACAAAGAAACACAATCAGCAACAAAACAATCTAGTGAAGGGGTTTTACTTACAAATCCAATAAAGTGCACCTGTTCGTTTGAACCAAGCATGTATTTACCATGTCATCACAAATTAAACGTGCGACAGATGTACAATATTTCATTATTTGATCCATATCTCTATTCGGAAAGGTAGACTAGAAAATATTATGCAAAAGTGTGTAGTTATTCCAACAGATCATTCCTTTTCAGAGGGTCAGCAAGCAGGATTATGCAATACTAAAATTAAAAAAAAAAAAAATGTTTTATTTAACTGTTAAATTACTTTAATAATATTGATTTTTATTTTTTTTAATTCATTAATTTTAATTAATTTATGAAGTGAAAGAAATGCATAAAATAAATATTGTGACTGTAGAAAAAAAAAAATGTTGAATGCTCACGAAAATTACCGAAGTGCCCATATCGAAGGAGAGCTATTATATAGCTTCAGAAGCAACTGGAAAATAATTTTTTTTTTTTTTTATTTATCATATTTAAAATGTATCAGCAAACTAATGCTTTGGCAAGTTTTATAACAAAAATTTTAATATTTAATAATAGTTTAGCGTGTGACATTTATGTAATTAGTATTTAGTGGTTTGATACTATAGTAAGTATACAAAACAATCGAGATTGTATACAATACGCTCGGATAGCATGAAGTCACATTCGTTATCAACGCTTATCAGTTATCTAACTGGATCCAAACAATTATAATTTCTTATGTTAAATGTACATTTAATATGTATGTACTACTGTTATTCGTTACTCGTTACTCGTTAAACATTAGTCTGTAATTTAACACAACAGTTTATTTAAGGTTTATATTTTATAATAAGCTTGGATATTTTAGTATTTAGTGTATTATTTTTTTTTAAACGTTATGGCTGGTCGCTGGAAATCATATTTTATCAATATCGTCGATTTCGGAGTATTTTAAAGACAATATTAAACAATTAAAAAGGGGGAAATTGCATATAAAAATTCAAGCAGATCTTGATTTAAATAGTATTGTTGGAGAAATCAAGCCTAGTATGCGGAATGATAAGTACAAAGTAAAATCAATGTTAAATTACTGTTCTATTGTTGACGCTGAGTGTACATGTCCTCGTGGAAAAGTAGTTTGACTCTATATAGCTGCGTTAGCACTGTACACACACTATAGAGCAGTGCTTCTCAACGGGGGCGATATCGCCCCCCGGTGGGTGGTGAAGGAGTACAGATGGGCGGTGGGCTCGTTTTGGGTGACAGGGGGGCGGTGAACTTTTTTTCCGTTCAAAGCAACGCACCAAGATTTATCTTGGTAAATGTTTTAATTTTTATCGATTACTAAAATAAACTCGTGATTATGAAATATAAGCTACACATGTCAAACGTTTGCTTATCTGTAATCGTTTTCGAACGAATCATTATCTTTATTACTCTTTAACTGCATTATGCTTTTTCTTACTATACTTTCAGTATACATTTAGATTTTACCCGTGCCAGTTGTGTTAGTTTTCGTTTCGTGTTTCGGTTTATATTAAAATTGTATATATTATTCAACGATGTCAGAAGCAAAAAGGAAATGTCGCCAATATAATACAAATTACTTGATGTACGGATTTATTCCATCACCGTCCAATGCCCAGCTTCCTATGTGTTTACTGTGCAACAGAGTATTATCTAACGAAGCAATGAAACCGTCGCGTTTGCAATAGCATCTTCAAAAAATTCACCCAGACAAAAAAAATAAAAATTTGTTATTTTTTACGAATATTAGGGACAAGTTTTTGAAGGCACCGTCAGTCTCAGGCTTACTCACAACTTCTTCAACATAATGTGACGATGGTTTAATAGCCTCTTATAATATATCAAAATTAATAGCTAAATCAGGAAAAGCCAATACCATTGGTGAACAATTAATACTGCCAGCTATCAAGGAAGTTCTAGAAACAGTTCTACACCATTCAGCCTCATACAATGTCATTAAAAAAGTTCCATTAAGTAACGATACTGTGCGACGACGAATTGATGAAATGGCTGAAGACGTAGAAGTTTCTTTATGCGAGCACTTGGTATCCAACAAATTTCCCCTTCAAGTTGACGAATCGACATTGCCTGGTAACGAGGCTTTACTGTTGGCATATGTTCGACTTTTTAAGGAAGGAAAAATCATACAAGAGATGCTTTTTGCAAGAACCTTGATAGCAGATACTAAAGGTGAATCTATTTTCAATACCGTCAAAGATTATTTTAAAGAAAAGAATATTCCTCTTGTGAACATTATGTCTGTTGCCACTGATGGAGCGCCTGCAATGGTGGGTCGTCATCGTGGGTTCATCGCCTTTTTAAAGGAAGAAGTACCAGGTATTTTAGCTGTTCACTGCGCGAAAGTAGAATTTCTAGATGGTGCACCACCTGAGACATTAGGAATGATATCAGATACTGGCTATATTAATACAGATTTATTTATTCAATGGCTTGTTCACTTTCAAAAACATACAAGATCAAGTGTGGATTTTCCAGTTCTTCTTATTCTTGATAACTATAGCTCACATGTTAATTTGAAAACGGTTACGTTCTGTAGGGATAATTATATACATCTTGTAAGCATTCCACCTCATTCTAGTCATAGAACACAACCTCTAGATAGATGTTTCTTTAAATCTTTAAAGGATTATTATTCAGTTGCTTATGATTTATGGATGACGTCACATCCAGGAAGAGTGGTTACTTTGTATCAAGTGGCAGAACTATTTAAATATGCTTATGTAAAAAATTCCACAGTAGAAAAAGGATTGAAAGCATTTGAAATGTGTGGTATATGGCCATTAAATCCACATACTTTCACTCATGAAGATTTTCTGCCATCAACAGCCACTGACCAGGAAATTTCTAGTACAATAAATAACAGCAATCACAATAATGAACCTTTTAATATTATAGAAACAACAGATCAACAATGCTCTCAACTTATTAATAATGTTGATAACAGTGATGAGCTTTTAAATATTTTGGAATTGCCTGTTGAGATTGATCATAATTTTCCTAACATTCAATTTAATTTGGTAGATGAAGAAACATTTGAAGTAATAACAATAGTAAATGAAACTTCAAGCCAGCCAAGTTCAATATTCATGTGTCACCTTCGGACATTATACCTATCCCAAAAATATCACAAAACCTTAACCGTAGGAAAAAAGGAAAGAGATCTGAAATACTTTCAGGAACTCCTTACAAAAATACTTTGGTTGAAAATGAAATAGAAAAAGTACAAAAACAAAATAATCTTGAAGAAAAAAGATTATTTGAAGATAACACAAACGTTCTTCCATCTAAAAGATCTAAACCACCTAAAAACGTACCTTCTAAAAAAAATGCTTCAAATGCATCAGTGTCTACTACAGTTGCAGAAATTTCTTCAGTATCAACAACATCAGAGGTGTTAAATGTTTCTGTGTGTCCTGCATGTGAAGAAAAGTATGAAGACCCTCCTCGTGAAACGTGGATAAGATGTGACATTTGTTTAAAATGGTGGCATGAAGACTGTGCATACATTAGCGAAAGTGAACGCTTTGTATGTGATTTTTGTAAATAGTTGGTTTAATATTAATTCCTAACAAATATAATTTGTATCAAATATGTTCCTAAAGAAACTTGTTGACTGAATATATTATACTTATGTTAATTTTAAGACTTTCTACATTAATATTACCATACTTATATTAAAAAATCTATCTCCATTGTTTTATTATATTTTTAAAAAAGATGTTTTATATTATATATCAAGTAACTAATTATAGTTACAAGTTGTTTATTTTTAAGTTGAAATTTCTGTTTCTTTTATATAACAAGTTGATATTTTTCTGTTTCTTTTATTTAAAAAGTGGATATTGTTTGAATTTTATTTGTTTTACAGTTGAAGTTTAAAATTTTATTTTTAATGTATAGGTATATATATTTTTTTTTAGAATGATATTTAATCTGTTCTTAAGTTAAAAAGTTGTTAAATTTTAATTTGTTTTATCTGCAGTTATTTTATTCATAAATAAAGAATAGGATAATAACCAATTTTCAAGTTATTTAAATAGGTAATCTTTTAATAAAATCGATTTTTATCAATTAATTTAGCATGCGGCGTTTTGCCCCATTAGATGCGCACTTTTACCCCAATACTAGGGTAAAAAGTCGCATTTGGTATAATTTCTAATTACTTAGAATTTTTGGTGTTAGCTTTGGTAAAATCAACTTTTGACTGAAAAATTGAATGGCTCACTGCAACAACAAGGCAAGTCCACTTTTGAAAAATGTTCAGGAGAAGTAAATATATTGTTTTAGCCAATAGAAAATGAAAACAAAATGTATTTTGATAAAAAAAATGATATTGAGTAGTACACATAATTTGTTTTCATACTATCATGTCTTAATATATTTCTTTTCTAGTGCATACATATTTTTTAAGTTTGAAAGGTATGGACTTGCCCGGGTTTTTGCTCATAAAATATAAATGTATTTTCAATATTTTAGTTATTATTAAGTAAAAAAAAATAAAAATAAAGTCTTAAAAGTAATAATAAATATAAGTGATGGTCAACAGTAATAATATTTAAATATTGAATAATGCTTTGTACTGATTTTAACAACGTAGAGTATAATAATGTTGATGTTCATTATTTTGACATGGACTTGCATGACTTTTTGATCATAAAATAGGTATTTTTTTTAAAAAATTAATCTGTTTTATTTACAATAACATAAAATAATAGATTTTAAATGTTTTCTAAAATATTAATAGATTATAGGAAAGAATAGTGATTTTACATAATCATGTTCTTCAACCTATAATGGAAAACAGTTTAGCAGTAAAACATAAAAAACAGTTATAGCTTCACTTTTGTTAAAATAATTCACTTAGATTCATTTATCCTTTATAACTGATTCCTCACAGTAAAACATAAAATATAACTAATATAAATCATACATTTGATAATACATATTTATAAAATACATTTTTTTTTAAATATAAAAGAAAAAAAATAATAACAATGGTTATTTAAAATAAAAAAAAATATTAACGGTTAATTTTATATTATACATTATAGACTAGTATAATAACCCTTGACTATGTTAGTACAACTTAATAAATTCTGAAATAAAAATAAATAACTATATAAATAAAATAATCCATTTGAATATTGAGGAACTACTTTTTAGTCTGTTGACTGTTGCTGAGCTCAACTAACAGATCGCTCGCTTGGGCTCAAAAAGTATTTTCCCTTCGCACACCGCCTCAACTATAACTTTTCATGAACAGAGCCCTGCACCAGGGCTTCAAACCGGTTAAAACCGGTTTCGATATTAACCGGTTATATTGGAAAATTTACATGAACGAAAACGAAAACGAAACCACAATCAATTATTTTATAGAACGAAAACGAAATGTTTAACCAGAATAATTTTTCGTTCTTGAACGAAAAAAAAAAATTTTTAAATTAGCAATTAAAACATAAATAATAATAATCATAATTGTTTATAGTTTATACTTTATAATATGTTGGTAGCTCTGTTTATAATATTATATCTGTTTTCCACCACCATTATAATGTTTGCCGCCTTTAATACTGACTAGAACAATATGAAGTATGCAGTATGCGATCATTTGATAAGCTAAGACCGTGCATGAGATTGTAGTTGGTAACAATGTTTTATACTTTTATGCAATCATGCTTTTATGATTTGACAACCGAGTGTTATCATCAAATATTTGTTAAACATTTTTTCATATTAATTGTAATAATTGTGAATAATGTAGTCATCGCCAACAGTGTTGTTAAGTGTGTTTTAAACTGTCAACTAAGCTATATTATTTTTTGTCTTATAAGTTAAATTAATAATTGTTGAGTATGGGTCGGCATAAAAAGAATCCAGTCTACTCATATTTTAGTAAAAATATCGACAAAGATCGTGCTCAATGTCTCGTAGAAGGATGCGGTGAATCATTAGTTGGGTTTCATGCCGGCAATATGGAACGTCATATGAAAAGTCAGCATCCTACCGAACATACAGAAATTATCAAATTAAAAAGTCAAGGACAATATGAACCAGCTGTAAAAAAAATAAGAATGACCTCCAATATTGGCAATTCAAGTAATTTAATACAAAAAAATTTGAATGATATGTTTGTTAAAAAACAAATATCAATTAAAATTACGAAACAAATTATAATTGATGCGTGTGTAGAATTAGTTACTGTTAATGGCCGGCCTTTTACATTGATAGAGGATAGTGGTTTCAGAAAATTATTAGACCCTGTTCTAGAAGGATTCAATGATAAATTTGCAATTAACTCTCAAAACATTCGGAATCAAATTTCACCTGCGGCACAAAAAATACGTCAAGAGATAACAAAAATTGTAGAGAATCGACTTATATGTCTTAAAATGGACTGTGTAACTAGACACGATCGCTCTATCCTAGGAGTTAATATCCAAATAATACACAATGATGAATTGGTTTTAAAGACTTTAGCTATGATAGAACTCAAAATTAGGCACACTGGAGAAAATCTTAAAAATGAAGTTTTTTCTCTTCTTAATAGATATAATATTGATAAGGAACAAATATATACAGTTACAACTGACAATGGAGCCAATATGGTAAAAATGGTGGATCTTATGAGCAAAGAAGAAGATATAGATGAAGATAATGGAAATGAAATTGAAGAAAATGAAAGTGAAGAAAATGAAAATGAAGCAAATCCAGTTGATTTTTCAAATGAAATTTTAAACATTGTAAATGAATTAGATGTACATACAGGTAACAAGCCAAATCTAACCTCTTCTATACGTTGTTCTGCACATACATTGCAACTGTGCGTGCTGTCTTCATTAAAAACCCCAACTATTCAAAAGCAAATAAGTAGAGCCAGAAATTCCATAAAAAAGCTACGTACACCGAATGTTCTCAAATGTATAAAAGCATTAAAGTTAAGAAAACCAGTAATTGATATACCTACAAGATGGAATTCAACATATGATATGTTAAAGAGTTTAACAAATTTAAAAGATTTTTACTATGACCATAGTGATATAATTGAGATAAATATTAGTGATTATGATTGGAATTGTTTTACAACAATTTTAACTTCACTTGAACCTGCAAAAGTTGCTACTATAAAGCTACAAAATAATGCAGTTACATTGGGAGACTTCTATGGCATTTGGATGCAGTGTTATGCTGAGACAAAAAAAATTAATTCTACAATAACAAATGCCTTATGTGTGGCCATGGAAACTCGTGAATTAGTACTACTGCAAAATGAAGTATTTTTATCAGGTATTTTTCATTGTTAATTTAATAAAATGCACTATTTAGTATTTTAATTTTTTTAATACTAATTAATAATTATTAATATTTACCTAATACCTATAATACAAATTTAATTTAATTATTTCAGCTATATATCTTGATGCACGATATCAATGTCTACTAAGTGCTGACTGTAAAATCAAAGCCATTAAACATTTATGTAAAGTATGGGAAGCTCAAGAATATTTAGTAACTAGAAACGGTACCCAAGATCAACTATTACAAAATAATTCTCCGACAAATAACGAAGAAAATAGTGATATAGAAATTGATGATGACCTTGAAGAATTAATAAAAACCAAATCTCAAACTCCAGGTGAAGAACCTAGTACCTCACGTCAACCGTGTGAAACTGGAGATGTGCAAAAATTTATCTTATTAGAGTCATTTGGTTTAACTCCACGATTACATCATAAGACCAACATTTTGCAATGGTGGATCTCCCAAAAAGAATCTAAACCTGAACTTTACAAATTAGCGGTAACAGTTTTAGCAGTCCCATCTACACAAGTAAGGTTCAAATTTAAACCCTTTAAACTTTTAAAGTTTAAACTATAATAGTTTAATTGTAATTACAATATAATTTAACTTTCTTAATATTTTAGTTTTTAAATTTTAATGTTTTATAATAAATTTATATTGTGATTTATAATTATTAGTTGTTACATATCTATGTAATATTGTAATACACTAATAATAATATAATATGTATACTAATTACTAATCAATTAATTATAATTTATGTATTTATTGAATTTTAAATTATATAAGTTTCACTGTGTTGTGAAATGAGTTTAATTGATATTTAATAATAATTATACTTAAAGCTATAGCCTATAATAATGTAATTTGTATTTTCCAATATATTATATATATTGAATATTCATAATGTTAATGCATAACAATAACTATTAATTATTATAGTAAAAAATAAAAATATTCATATAGAACTTGTATAATTATAAATAATAATATTTTATATATTTTGTACAAACTTATGTTGCATCCACTTAGTAGTTAATGTGTTAGTACTTAGTTGTTTATTGAAATCAACAATTTTTTCAAGTGAATGGGACATATGTTTATAGTTTATATTATACTTTATAATTTATATATATAAAAAATAAAAATATATATTTATATTTTATTTGTACTTTTTACTATTTAGGTCAGTGTTGAGAGATCATTTTCAGGCGTAAAATTCATTTTAAGTGATCTAAGAACTAGCCTTGATGAAAATATTTTAGAAGACATTATGGTTATCCGGGGTAACAATTAGGCATTTTTATTTTTTTCATTAATTACAACATACAAGTTATTCATATTTCATTTTGTCAACCTTAATTGTTTAAAGTTTTAACTTTTAAGTTATAATGTAAAGTAAACTAATATTTGGTTTTATATTTTTTTCTTATAGTAGTAAGTAAATTATAAATATTATAATTTATATTTATTAGTTATAACTTACATATTAAAATTATATTATTAAATTTTATTATATAGTATTGTACTATTGTTATTTGTTATACCTATACTTATATATAAAAAGATTTTAAAAGTTTTAAACATAAAAATTATAAAATAAAGATATTTTTAATTTTTATATGTAGTTGTATGTTTTTTTCTTATAGTAGACAGTATACCTATACATATACCTACATAATACAAGTAAATAGTAATAGATACATATTAATTATTATTAATATTATTTGGAAAAAAAATTTTCAATAAAAAACGAAATTAACCGGTTTTATTAATTTAAAAACCGGTTTTTAATAACCATAAAATGTAGGAACAATATTAACCGGTTTCTTAAACCGAAAAAAATTTAAGAAGAACTAAAACCATTAACCAAAAAAAATCATTTCGGTTTGAAGCCCTGCCCTGCACCCCTGCTTCATAGTCGTTACCAGTCCTGTTTATCTTAGTCCGTGGTTTTATCAAAGCGATTATCGGGGTTATCTGGTATACGTTATCATAAATCATAATACGGGTAACCTTGGATCTAAAATCAAGTTGGTGCGAGTAGACGTTTTCATGTTTTTCGGAGGTTCAGACTTCAGATCATAAGTAAACTGTAAACAAGACCCCAATCAGCTGATCGAGTTTTGCACATAATGCATGTACGTTATTCTTTTTTCAATGTTGAAAAAATCTAACTCAGTCATATTGTTATCTTTGTTATTTTTAATGCATTCACCAACGTCTTCAAAAACATCCATTATTAAAATAACTAACAAAAAAATAATGTGCAATGTGTACCTTTCAATGCAGGAATCTAAACAAGTTGTGGAACAAGAAATACAAAAGAAATATGTACCAAAAATTGTTCCATTTTTTGTTCGAAAATGACTATTATTATACATATTTGGTTGGACTTCAAAATTACTGTAATTATGACAGTTATTCATCCAGTAGTATATATTTGTGCTTTCTGAGCACCTTTTTTACAGGGAGATTTCTTCATTTCAAGGGGGCATTTCTACATGCTCCACCGTGTAACACATAATCTCAAAAACCCTAATGTTCCTTCTGAGCACCTTTTTTACAGGGAGATTTCATTATTTCAAGGGGGGCATTTCTACATGCTCCACCGTGTAACACATAATCTCAAAAACCCTAATGTGCGTTCTGAGCACCTTTTTTACAGGGAGATTTCTACATGCTTCACCATGTAACACAACAATTTGATAAAATATATATTATTTATTAAATATTATTTTATTTACAAATACAATTATATATTGATTCTAAACAATTATTTATACAAGTTTTCTTACTTCTCTAGTAAAAGGTACATATTCTACAATACGATCATGAATTAATAAACAATAAGCAGTTACACCTGTAAGCGAATCTGAAGCTTCAATTTCCAATTGAACATCCACTGCTGAGGCTGTGGCTGAATCGTTCTGTTTCGAAGTATCGATAACTATAATTGGAGCGTTTGTCAGAAAAGTAGAAGGACTCAATATCGGATTACGAATACTTTTTTCATAGTACGATTCTTGAAACGATGTATACATATTATATAATAAGGTGAAATTATTTTTAGTAAAATCTAAATTCAAATTATCGTATGGATAAGCTATAGAGTTCAGAAATACTTTAACGTTTGTTAAATTACAGTGGTCAAATATACTACAATCTTTTGTTAGCAAATTCTTACGTCCTTTTTGTAATCCAATTATGATAAATCGTGGTTTTTCTAATTTTGAAGCAGTTTTCAAATTCCATACAACTTTTTTAGTGGTTCCGAGTTCAGGATATTCAAAAGTTTCAAAAGATCTAAAAGGGATAAATAGACTTTTTTCTTTTTCTATAAGTTTCAATAATTTTAACCTTTCCTCGTCGTCAACCGTTATATGTGGGACCTTCCAGACTATTTTATTTAAGGTGACTTTACCTTCAGTGACAGTCGCACCACTTTTAACTTGTAAAGCATTTAAATCACTATGACTTCGGGTTAATATTAATTCCAATCTAGAATTCACTAATATTCTTTTATAGTCTTCAAACAATCCTAACCAATATTTCAATGGAATGCAAGCACTAAATTCACCTTTATCATTTTCCGATTGCGTTGCGTTTTTAAAATTCCAACCAGCATTTTCATAACAATTGTAGTTATCTGGCGTACCGGATAAGTAACCTTTCAACGAGCTAGTGATTCCAAGAACACGTGTGCTATCTACTTCTATCCCATTGATTTCCAATCGTATTTGTTCGAAGAGGTAAGAGTAACCGTTATTAGATAGTTTCACTTTGGTAGCATCAGTAATTGTTCCTCCTAAAAAAATAAAGCTTTCGTGTAGATATGGATAAACATCCGTTTGCTGGATTGATATACGTATTTCATCATTATTATTAAATGATGTTGTATACGGTGCGTATGAATGATATTCAATTTTCGTAATTTTAGAATCCGTCTCGTACTGTGAAGTTATATCCAAAATATCACTTTCAGGCATTCTACTTTAATTGATAACCCAGAGCTTGTAAAATTTTTTTATTCTTCACCGTCAATTTTTTTTATTTTATTTGATGTTACTGCTAGCACTTTAGTCTTATGACTAGTTGTACTGATCTGAAGTAGTGGGTTTATATTGAATTTTAATCCCATCTCAAGAGCCGTAACGTTTAATATGTAACACGATTGTCAATGCTTCACCAAAATTATCAATCGGATTATGATCTTGATCAACTAACTGAACGGTTATCGAATCAATATTTGTTTTATTCAATTTGTAATATATTAAATTTGGCGGTGCCTGAATTACTTTCGACCCTGTCTTTCCACTCGGGAAAAACTCATAAATCGAATGACTCTGAAGATGGTTGCTGAATGATCCTTGAGCTATATTACACATTACTTTTATAGAATTAATTGTGTTTAAATTTACAGCTTTTTCCGATCGAAGAATGTTGTATGGATTATATACTCGTTTTTCAAAACCGAATACAGGTGCTATACTATATGGATATTCAAAGTGTAGTATTCCATTACATTTTATATACGATCTGAAATCATCAGGATCAACCGTAATGTCGAATGTTAAATTGGTTAAGTTTTTACTATTATAGGCAACTATTTGCTTCTTAATTCGATCCTTAATATCTTCAATTTCATAACAACCTTCTTCCAATGTAATAAAACATATCATATTATCATTATTGTTTTCATTATCAACTACTTGTATAGAAAATTTATTATTATTTTCATTAATATTTGGGAATGAATTAAATGACTGTAAACATAACAAAGCTATTTCTGAGTCATCGTAAAGGTTTATAGGCGGAAAATAATTTACAGATAATACAGTCGAATTTCCAGTCAAACTTAATGTAATAGATTCATGCATTGTAAAAATTCAAGACATAAATGACCACAGTTAAATGTATTGAAGTCTTGATAGTTGGAATAGTTATATACTATTTTGAACTGTCTGAAATAATGTTGTAATTCAATTGGTGGAGGTAAATCACCAAAGCTATCAAAATATACATTTTTGTCCTTATTTTTATAAAACGCTACCCAATGGCTTCCATCGCCTGAAGATATATCCAAGTTTAATATACCACATTCAATAGCGTGCGGTTTTTTAGGTAAGTTATCACGTGAAAAGACTCCACGGAAATGATTGATTTTCAACTTTCCGGCATATTTTATAATATCTTGAGACGAAAGCGGTCTGTCAGGTAGCGTAATCATCAGTTTTTTTTAACCTATTCTTGTTTGATTTCAAACCACTACCTTTTTTTCTTTTTGAATTTTGAACAGCATTATACACACTAGCACCTCCAGACATCAAACTACCAAGTGCTGACAATCCTGCAAATATAGGTATTAAGGGAATTACACCTCCTGACTGCCTCGGTGCTAAAATCAGCCTTTTACCACCATTCTTTTTCTTTGAGATTCTTTTTTTCTTCGCTGCTAGTATACTATTTGTTTTTATAGCACGTTTCCGTTTACAACCCATACCTATTTTTCTTTTAGCTTTCATCGCGTTTGTTACTGCGTACGCGACTAATTTCTCTTTTCTAGGTGTATCTTTTGCTTTAAATCTTTCCCAAGCACGATTTTCTAACACTTGATCAGCTTTATGTCTATCGTCTAAATTTTTGCTCGTTGCATACACAATATCGTGATCACGACAAGCAGCATCCAATGGGTTTATTCCTTTATCGCCACGATCTAGTCTCTTTTTTGATTTCGTGCCAGGACCACAATACTGATATCCTGAAACATGGGCTTCGAACGGGAGACTATTTATAAGGGAGTTCACAAATCCTTTACCAGTCGTGACTGACTTACACTTGCGAGTTGAACGCGTCATCGATAACTGATTATACATTAGAGAATTCTAGAGTATTTATAAGAAAATAATATGGATTTGATAGAACAGAAAGATAAATTGGATGTTATAAATTTAGATGTTCAGGTAGTAAGAAAACCATCAAGACACGGTTCGTTATTACCCGATACTATACGTGCTATACTAGTTGGTCCCAGCGGTTCAGGAAAAACAAATATAATGTTTAATCTGATCACACATGTAAACGGGTTAAGATTTGAAAATATTTATTTATACTCGAAAACCTCTAATCAGGAAAAATATGTTTTATTAAAAAAAATAATAGATGGTATACAAGGTGCTAATTTTTTCCTATTTACAAGCGCTGATAAGGTTATAAAACCAAACTTAACGAAGAAAAATTCTATTATAATTTTTGATGATGTGATATGCGGCCCACAATCTGTAATCAGAGAATACT